AATTATCCAGTATCCTAGGTGTTCTATACCAGAAAAGGGGACGCTAGACATTCTTGCACCTGTATTATCTGGAGATTGCTTCTTCTCTCCTTTATTTTTTCTCTCTCTCCCTCTTTCTTTTTCACAGGTCAGTCTTCCATCCCTCCCAGGCCATGGCATTGGGGTCTCAGAGGCTTCCAGACTGACTCTCTGGAATTCAGAGTTTTGCATCCCACACTCAGCCTAGCCCAATACTTCACGCAGCACATCTACAAGAGAATACCCTACGTCTCCTAGAACTAGGTGATCTGGCAAACGGAGGGCACACACACCAGTGGCGTAGAGCTGGAGAGGCTCTAGGGAAGAACGTGGCCACTTCCTCTTATTGTGCAAAGCAGGAAACTGAGGCATGGCACATCAGGGCTCAGCACTCCAGCCAGAACCTGCTCCTTGCATACAGCCATGAGAAGCGTTGAAAGAATGACCAAAAAGCAGTTTTTAAAATAGCTGTCAATTCCTCCTCCCAGCCAACCTGTGCATAGCTCTTATTCACATGAAAAGAAAACACATACAGTATGCTATTCACTCAAAGTGAAACTCCAGATGAAGTCATGCATTGAACCCCAGTATTGCCCATTGTTCATAATCAATGACCCTGAGCAAATGGAGTTTCATGAAGCCTCTGTGTGCCAGCTGTCCATGAGAGGGGGTTTCCAAAGGCCTTTCTGGCTGGCCCTGCAGCCTAGGTGTCACCTGAGTGGGCATGCCTTTGTGGCCTGGTCACTCACTGTGTGGGATCTTCAAAGCCTAGCTGTGGGACAGGAGTTTTATGTGCAAAGCTGAATTCAAGGAACTCTCAAGACGGTTCATGCAGTTTTTCCCTCTGGGCCTCCAGTGATAACTCCAGACAGCACAGGGTCAGGTGTTGTCCCCCCGTCTGGCTGCCTTACCCCTTGTGCAGAACACGAGCAGGTCCCAAGACATTACCTGGGACACTGGGAAGCCCGTCTTGTGGAGCTCGGGGCTTCATGCTTCTCCTGGCCAGGGCCTCTAACCTCTCCGCGCCTGTGTCCCCTCCTCCAGGAGAATCTCTGCCTCCCTCAGTATCTGGCAGATCGCTTGCTGTTCTTGTGCTTTTATAACTTTTGCTGTTTGGGCCAACTGGAGTCCACATTACTGTCTCCTCGAGTGTTTCTGTGCCGGGGAGGGGACTAGGAAAGCAGGACTGCAGGGCCTGCTCAGTGGGTTCTAAGATGTGTGTGGATTCGGAGTGGGCCTGTATAGGCTCCCACTGAGAGGAAGACTGGGGGCCCTCGTGAAGTGGTTGGCTCTCCTTGTCAACAGGGCCTCAGCACTTCCCTTTCAGTCTCCTCTCAGGGAAGCCCTTTCGAGCCAGGTCCTTGCTCTTCCGCCATCGAGGAGCTTGACTTTTTCCATTTTTGCTCACATTCCAGCCTGTCAAGGTTGTTTTCTGCCAGCCCAGTCATCCAAGCATCCCACACTCTTCTCATGGACTCATTCCCCTGAGGAAGTGGAAGGTGAGGGCAGGCGCCTCAGCACGCTGTGTGGGGCCCCTAGGGCTGCACCTGGGAAGAGCGAGTCCGCACGGACCTGCTGCCAGCTCCTTTGCTCCTATCTGGCTGGAACCAACTCCAAGCTTGGGGTTCAGTGCTCCCTGCCCATGCACTCCGTGTCTCCACCCATCACCCACCTGGCCTATGGTCTTCTGAGCTGGGATCTCCCAAAAAACAGAGCAGAGCCAAGGCTGGCCAGGATGAGTGCCGCCTCTCTGAGTTGGGACCTGAAAACGGGGTCACCTTGGCAAGGAGGGAGGCACACAGGGTGGGAAGCAGCCATGCCTGGCTTCCAGCCCCGCCTGGGCACTCCCCCACAAGGAGACTCTGGGCACATGGCTTCCCTTCCCAAGCCGCTGAGCTGCTCCACAGCAGAAGTGCGGCAGTGGTGCCCTGAAGGTGGCCTTGGGGAGTGATAAGGCATGCACAGCGCCTGGCTCAGATTGGATGACAGCCAGTGGCAACTTCTCTCCTAATTCTGCAAGAAGTCATGGACAAATCCTTGTGAGAACGACTGTGTGCACACCAGGACGCAGCTACACAGACACCATTCCTACCCTCATGATGCTCCAGGTTAGTAGAGAAGACAAACATTGAACACACAGCCACACACAAAAGGGTGGTGATTAAGTATGGTCAGTTTCACAAAGAAGAAATAATAGACTGACAGACTGACAGAGTGGGGGACCTAATATAGCTCAGAGGGTCACAGGAGGTCTCTGCAGAACAGACTGTGCCACCTAAGGAGCTACCTAAGTAGTGAGGATAGAGGGGAAGGGGCCAAGGCTGGAGGAACCTTCGGGAGTTTGAGAACTGAAATGAGTTCATAGTGGCTACACATGCCCAGCCCGTGTAGGTAATTTAAAATTTCCTAGTAGTGATTTAAAAAGTAAAGGGAGGCCAGGTGTGGTGGCTCATGCCTGTAATCCCAGCACTTTGGGAGACCAAAGGCAGGTAGATCACAAGGTCAGGAGTTCAAGACCAGCCTAACATGGTAAAACCCCATTTCTACTAAAAATACAAAAATTAGCTGGGCATGGTGGCGGGTGCCTGTAATCCCAGCTACTCGGGGGGCTGAGGCAAGATGATCACTTGAACCCGGGAGGCAGAGGTTGCAGTGAGCCAAGATCATGCCACTGCACTCCAGCCTGGGCAACACAGCAAGAGTCTGTCTCAAAAATAAATAAATAAAATTTAAAAAGTAAAGGGAAATAGGTAAGTTAATATTAATAAGGTCTTTTATTAAATGGAAGGCATATAGTATTATCGCATCATTAACGCAAAAATTAATGGGATATTTTACATTTCTTTTTAAATACTGAGTCATTAAGAATCGGCAAATATTTTACATTTTTATCACATTTCGACTGAGACTAGCCATATGTCAAGGGCTCAATAGCCACATGCAGCCAGTGACTACTGTACCATAATGTTGCAACCACTACTTCCAGGAAGGATTGGTTCACTGGCGCAGGCTTCAGGCACCTGCCAGAGGTGCTTTAGAACAACATTCAAGGAAGCAGCTGGCACACACAGCAGCTTTATGTGAATTGCAGCCAGGTTAGGTCAGAGGCTTGGCCTAGAGCTTGACCCAGACCTTAGTTCTCACTCATAGTAGCAAAAGAGCACACCCACTCCTGGTGCCTTGAGTCTCCCCCGTTAGTCTTTCCAAGGTTTTTCCCTCAAAGAACTGACTGTAACTGGTCTTTTGTTTTGTTTTGTTTCTGACTATAGCATTCCCTCCAGATATTGAAAGAGGACATCTGAACCTGCGTGATGTGGTGGAAAGAACATCGTCTACAGTGTCAAAGCAGACAGATGCCAGTTTGTGCCCATCCTTTACCAGACTGGTGCCTAGAATGAGTCACACTTGTCCGCACAGTGCGGTAAGCAGGAGTTCAGGTTCCAGAGTCAGACTGCAGCTCCAGGTCCTGCGCTGGGTAATTTGGGAAAGACACTCAACTTTTCTGAGCCTCCTTATCCTCATCTGTAAAGTGAGGACAGCACTAACGTTGTTGGAGGATTCAACAAGACAGCAAGCAGAAAGCACTCATGGCAAACATTTAACAAACAGTGTCTGTTACTATGTTATACCTGTTATTATCTCTGTACCTCTGTTGTCTTGGTTTTCAAGTGGAGACAATCATCCCTTAAAAAAAACCTGCTTTACAGGATTCTGTGTGGCTTATAAGAGATGATGAGTGTGAAACCAACCCTGAAAACCCAGGAGGCCCATGGCCGGGCGCAGTGGCTCACGCCTGTAATCCCAGCACTTTGGGAGGCCAAGGCGGGTGGATCATCTGAGGTCAAGAGTTCAAGACCAGCCTGACCAACGTAGTGAAACCCTGTCTCTACTAGAAATACAAAAAAATTAGCTGGGCATGTGCCTGTAATCCCAGCTACTAGGGAGGCTGAGGCAGGAGAATCGCTTGAACCCAGGAGGCAGAGGTTGCAGTGAGCCGAGACCACACCACTGCAGACCAGCCTGGGTGACAGAGCGGGACTCTGTCTCAAACAACAAAACAAAAACCGGGAGACCCTTTATAAAGTCAGAAGCAGCTCCTCAGTGCTACAGTCTAGTTGAGGGTCTGACTTTAGCAAGTCACGAGGAGCTTAGAAATGGGAAGGGGGGCCGGGCGCGGTGGCTCAAGCCTGTAATCCCAGCACTTTGGGAGGCCGAGGCGGGTGGATCACAAGGTCAAGAGATCGAGACCATCCTGGTCAACATGGTGAAACCCCGTCTCTACTAAAAATACAAAAAATTAGCTGGGCATGGTGGCGCGTGCCTGTAATCCCAGCTACTCAGGAGGCTGAGGCAGGGGAATTGCCTGAACCCAGGAGGCGGAGGTTGCGGTGAGCCGAGATCGTGCCATTGCACTCCAGCCTGGGTAACGAGAGCGAAACTCCGTCTCAAAAAAAAAAAAAAAAAAAAAAAGAAATGGGAAGGGGCTTCTGCCTGACAGCAGCGGCTCTGCCACTGGACGGGGTCTATCAGCCTAGCTCCAGCACTCTTTTCATGGATAAACTCTGCCTTCTTCTCTATTTCCTCATCTCTCACACAGGGTGAGAATACCCAGCTCTCAGGTCGGCGGGCTGAGGGTCAAAGGAGTCCCTGACCATCGCGTGCAGGGGGCTGACCCCAGGTGGGTGCTGAATCCCTGGCGCTTGCTCTTGCTGCCTTGGAGGGGACCTTGCTGCCCACACCTGTCTCAGTCCAAACCTGGAGCAGCAGTTCATGTGATTACCACAAGGGAGCGCCCGAAGCTTTCCATTCACCTGAGCCATGTCATTGGCCCGGTCATTCAGCCCTCCCTTCCACACCCCTGCTGCTGTCCTAGGCCCAGGAGAATGCCCTTTGGAAAGGACCTCTGCAGACCCTGAGGGCATCTGCTCGAGGTTCAGTGACCCTTAGAGAAACGGCCTTGGTTTCCAAACACTGCATGTAGGTAAATTTGTGACCTGGGGTGGTCCTCCCACCAACCTACCAGCTAAGTGACTTGGACTTCTCTAACTTCACTGGGCCTCAGTTTCCTCACCTGAAAGGAAGACTTGAAAATGATCCCTTCCGGTGCCCGTGGGAGTGCTTTGTAAACCATGGCGTGAGCTGCACATGCGTTTCCTAACTGTTCTTCTCATTGTCCCTGTAAACCAAAAAGTACTCTGAGACAGGTTTCAATCAATTTAGAGAATTATTTTGCTGAGGTTAAGGATGTACCCCCCACAAAAGGAACACAAAATCCCAAGAACAACCTGTGATCTGTGCTTTTTTTCAAAGAGGATTTTGAGGGCTTCAATATTTGAAGAGGACAAGTGGGCGGGAGGGGAAAGAGGGAGCGTATGGTCACGTGTATGGTCACATGTATGGTCACATGTATGGTCACATGTATGGTCACACGACTGAATCCACATGCTGCAAGTGAAAAAGGGAGAGTTTCAAAATAGTCAATTATGGGCCAGGCGCAGCGGCTCAAACCTGTGATTCCAGCACTTTGGGAGGCCATAGTGGGTGGATCACTTGAGGTCAGGAGCTTGAGACCAGCCTGGCCAACATGGTGAAACTGCATCTCTACTGAAAATATAAAAATTAACTGGACGTGGTGGCGAGCGCCTGTAATCCCAGTTGCTTGGGAGGCTGAGGCAGAGGAATCGCTTGAACCCAGGAGGTGGAGGCTGCAGTGAGCCAAGATCACACCACTGCACTCCAGCCTGGGCGATAAGAGCAAAAAAAAAAAAAAAGTCAATTATGTTTTTATCTTATGTTTTTATCCAGTGCTCGGTAAATGTTTACCTAAGATAAAGTAAGCATAGGGTAGCTACCTGTGGAGACACCTGGCCATCTATCTGACCGTTTATCTGTGGCTGTCTGCTTAGGAACAAAAGGAAGACAGCTTCTTGTGGGACTCAGCTTCCAGCTTAATCTCTCCCTTTGTTACAGTAAATTAAGGTCCCAAGATTTTATTTTCCTTTTACATTCACATTTGGCAGATTGTACCACATGGGACTCCCTAATATGAAAGAAGAAAGTGAAAGCTTGCCTGTCAGCTGCCAGACTGTGATGTTCCCACATGCTGAGACCATGTTTGGAAAGGCTCAAACAAGACCCCTCCACAACCACACAACTAAACGTCCCCACCTCTGATCAGCACGAGGGACTGCTGCTTCTTTCGCAATGATGACTCTAGCCCACTACAGTCCTCCCAGATAAAATCCACTAAGACTCCCAGTCACTGAATTGTGCCTGCTTTTTGACAGCACATGATCCAGCACTGCCTCCGCTTCCCGAATCCTCCCTTAGACCATGCCCAGCACAAGCCCCGCTGCCCTGAAGGACACCTCCCTGGCTCCTCTGGCGCGCGTCTTCCCTCGCCGCAGTAAGCTAAACAGACCTAACTTTTAAACCTAGATGTTCCTCATGGTTTCAGCCCACACACTATGAGAAAGAATTTCACCCTGATTAATTGACATGAAAGTTGGGGGTCAGTCTGCTTGGGCTTCCATAACAAAATATCACAGACTGGCTGGCTTAAAAAATAGAATTGTGTTTCTCACAGGCTGGAAGCTGGACATCTAGGATGAAGGTGTCAGCTGGCTTGATTTCTCCTGAGGCCTCGCACTTGCCTTGTAGATGCCACTTCTCACTGCGTCCTTTCCTGATGCGCTTACATCCCTGCTGTCTCTCTTCTGATGAGGACACCGGTCCTATTGAATTAGGGTCCCACTCTTCTAACCTCATGTCTTCTAACCTCATGTAACCTTAACGACATCCTTAGAGGCCTCATCTCCAAATACAGTCATATTGTGGATTAAGGCTTCAAAATATGAATGGGAGTTGGGGGAGACAGAATTCAGTCCATACACTTGGATTTTAATTTTGTTCTAAGGATAGTAAAAAGTCCATTCAGGAGAGGAGAGGGACAAGATTGCCCACCAGGTTCAAGTAGAAAAGGGAGCTGTCACTCAGAGATTCTTGCCAAGCACGTGGAGTAAGAGGGAACCACGACCAGGGACAGTGCAGTGAGTTCTAGGGGGACAGCCGCGCTTCAGCAAAGCCCCGGAGATCCTAGAAGGGGGCTTCTCTGAGAGGCCCCCCTAATGAGGGAGGCTCCTTTACCCTCTTGACCCTTTGTACAACTTGATCCCTCTCCTGGCACGTCCAGCCCAGGTGAATGCATCCACCAAGATTCTTTGGAAGGGATTGTTCCTTCTGCGTATCTCTGGAACACAGATTTCTGTTACCCTCAATACCTTACTTGGAGCTCTATGCACAGTACTTTATACATGTCATCATTAATCCTCAGGCCAACTTGGCCGTATAAATTTACCCTGATATTAACAATAAGGAAACACAGGCTTGGAGAAATAACTTACCCTAAGCCACACAGCTTGAGAGTAGCAGGGTCAGGATTTGAACCAGGAGAGTGGGACTGCAGGTAACTGTGGGCCGGCTGGCTCATCACAAAACTGTAACCCAAAGGCTTGCAAACTTGCCCGCACACACCACTCCCTCCGGAGAAATGCAGCGACCACAGATGTCTTTGTCAGCAAAGCCAAGTACTTTGAGCAAAACCAGTGAATCAGAGGGGTGCTCTGAAGCCGAAGGGCTGCCCACCAAGTGGGGCCATGCCTGCTGATTGGCTGCTCTACCAGCTGTTTCTGGAGAGAACCAAAGACACCAGGAGGGAGAGACAGGGCTCAGGGGACAGAAGCAAGGCAGCTCACTCCTGTATCTTTCTTTTTTTATTATTTATTTATTTATTTATTATTTTTAAGATGGGGTTTCACCATGATGGCCAGGCTGGTCTTGAACTCCTGACCTCAGGTGATCCACCCACCTCGGCCTCCCAAAGTGCTAGGATTACAGGCGTGAGCCACCGCGTCTTTCTGATGACTGTAGGTTACCTTAAGTTTCCTGAGCTACCTGGAAGAGTGGAAGCCAAATGAAGACCATCAAGGGAAAGGGCAGAGACCCTGCCCTATTCATCTTTGTATCCTCAACGAGCAGCCCTGAGCAGGAGGGAGGCAGGCAATATGTGCTTTCTAAATACCTGGCACGTGAGTGAGCAGCAGTCGGGTGACTCATGGCTTGTGTACAAGAGTGACACACAATAGTAGCAATTATTAGTAAGTATTAAACAGTTAATGGGGCAAGTGATGGCTCACTGGGGAATAAAGGGGCACTTCTGTTTTAGTCTGCAATGAGCCTTTTAGGACTTCTGCCTCAACATATTGAGGTTTAAAAAACAATTCAACCCAAGCTAGGTTCCCAGAGAATGACAGACACATTTTCACATATGAATCACAGATGGATTTCACTTACTTAAAGAAAAAACAAAACATTAAATCATCTCTCTCTCACACACACATACGTGAGCTTTTGAATATGACAGCTGTTGCTTAATTCACATCCTGACTTGCTTCCTTTGGTGAAATGTCACAACCCAGGAATTATAACCATGATGGGAATGTGTGATATCAACAAACATTAGCTTCTTCCTGGAACGCAGACATACATTTAAGCTATAGACTAGGTACTGGCTTCAAGGAAGTATCCCTCTCAGCCTCTTTTGTGTGCGGGTAAAATTAACTTGACATTTTATTTACAAAATCTTGATCATTGATCTAAAACACTTTTGAAAGGAGAATAAGTGAACCTTCCATTAAACCCATTCAAATTATTTAAAAAAATATATACCTCCTTTGCCCAATTCAGCTTCCAGGATGTTCCAAGTGTGTCAAAATTAAATGCGCTGAAGGCACTAAAATAATCTGAAGTCTTTACTGAGTAGAGTGTCAGAAACTTCGGACTGAGCACAGCGTCGACATGTGGTCTTTCTAAACTGAAGCTTTACTGCAGGTTCCATCACCAAGGGTACCGACTGAGCGAAATGAGTGGAGTGCTTGCTGGACACCAAGCACTCCCTCCCGGCCAAACGGTCACTTGAGGCCTGTCGCTTGCTCTACCAACTACAGCTGCACCACAGTAAACAGCCAAATAAATACCTTCTACAGCCACATCCAGACGCAGGTCTTCATTACCTTCACACACAGATGAAAATACGACTGTGATGTACAGAGTCTTTTGGCAGCTAGACCAAGCAGAAATAAACATTGATATTTTGTTGTAGAGTCAGGTAGATTAGAAGCTGGCTCTGAATTGTTTTATTTAGCACAGCATTTTTTTTGTTGTTGTAAAAGAATAGAGATCTCTAACAGTACCCACGGGAGGGCTTCTGGCTATAACCACAGGTTGGCTGCTGTGTGAGACTCCACAGTCTGGCATCACCTGCATTCTCTTGTAGCCACAGCTACAATTTCATACTGTTCAAGTTTTCACTGACAACAGCAGCCAAGTATCTGCTTATTTCAGATATTCTGAATGCCAAGAAAGCACATGGTCAAGTGTTTCTTTCACAGCCTTTGCTGTCTTTGCATCTTGTACTTTTGAAACAAGTTTCAGTTCAGGTGAAGGATTACTTAATCCTCCAAGGGATGAGAAAGCATACCTGAGGTGTCTAAAATTCTTGGTTCAAGTTTGTCCAACTGAGGGAGTTTATCAGGAGCTAATTTGGCTTATGCTGGACCCGGAATCCCACCCGCCAACTTCATTTGTGGCCCAATTATAGTCTTACATTAAACAGCATCCGTTGCAGCCCCTAGATTCCCATAAGATCACCTGTTGTAAGTCTCTTCGTGTCAGGGAACCTGCTGCATTTATGTCAGCGAGTGCCAGGCTGCCTCTGGACGCGTTCCTCACTCTGTACAACACTATTAAGTCCCTTGGCTTTTGTTGTTGGAGTTACCCTTTGAAATCCAGAGGGGAGACCCCCTTGCCTCCTTCAATTTTACCTCCTCCCTCCCCCCTTCCAGATAGGAAGGAGGGTGAAGGATAAAAAATGAAATAATATACCAAAGAGCTGGGAAAATGACTCCCTCTTCAGTTCCCAGCATCTCTGCTATCTGTTAACCTTGAAAAAGCCGTAAATGAATGCTGTCTGTGCCGGCAGGAGCGCGGCACTGGGTCACGCCCCCACGTCTCCACGGACCAGGGTCCCTCCTGGAAACACCTCTGCCAACAAACAGCTGGTTGCTTCTGTCTTGTCTCTGTAAGCCTCCTCCCCTGCTGGTCCCTGCTCACGCTGCATATGAATTAGCAAATAATTGAAGCCAAAAGACTGTAAGATTGGCTTATGGACAAAGACATGGTTCTGCCTCAGTTTCCCCTTAGCACTGTAAGCCTATAAAACGGGAGAGAAGCTGCAGCTCGGAGAGCCCGGTGAATGAGCCTGTAGTCCCCCACAGCTCTTGGCCGAATAAAAAGCCACTTCCTTCCTCAGTTCGGTGTTCGAGAGGTTTGTTCCGTCCGTTCCTGCTTCAAAATAAGTAAAATCCTGAAAATAATAGCTTAGGAAATCTACCTGTCACTTCTATAATCACACGGTGCCACGTGTAAGGTTATCTTGTAGGGGCACTTATACCCTGGCCAGCTGAAAAACAGCTTATTTTTCAGTATCTGGACGATGATATAGATCCACAAGTTCTGATATTTTCTTTTCCTAGGTATTGAACATTATATATCTGCACATTGAGGACAGAAAAGGCTGTTTTAAAGACTTTTGTGAGAGACAACTATTATTTTCCTTCTTTTTAGAAATTTATTTATTTATTTATTTGAGTCTCACTCTGTAGCCCAGGCTGGAATACAATGGTGTGATCTTGGCTAACTGCAACCTCCACCTCCTGGGTTCAAGCAATTCTCCTGTCTCAGCTTCCCGAGTAGCTGGGATTACAGGCGCCCACCACCATACCTGGCTAATTTCTTGTATTGTTAGTAGAGATGGGGTTTCATCATGTTCCCCAGGCTGGTCTTGAACTCCTGAGCTCAGGCAATCCACCCACCTCGGCCTCCCAAAGTGCTGGGATTACAGGCATGACCAACCATGCCCAGCCTATTTTCTCTATTTTTTAAAGTAGATCCTCCAGAACATCAGCAAACAATATAAAGACATGTTAGCAATTAATCTGAAGTACTTGTGTACTTCAAAGGGCTAAAACGGGCATATTTTAAAATTCAAGATTGTTAGTTCATTTATTCATCTTCCATTATTCTTCCATTGGCAAGTTCCACTTGGGTGGAAACACATGCCATTATTTGGTGAGAGAGCAGATTTTTTTATTTTAAAATTTAAAAAGTGACATATACTGTCTGCAGACAGATTTTTTTTTTTTTTTTTTGAGGTGGAGTTTTGCTTTTGTTACCCAGGCTGGAGTGCAATGGTGCGATCTCGGCTCACCGCAACCTCCGCCTCCTGGGTTCAGGCAATTCTCCTGCCTCAGCCTCCTGAGTAGCTGGGATTACAGGCACGTGCCACCATGCCCAGCTAATGTTTTGTATTTTTAGTAGAGACGGGGTTTCACCATGTTGACCAGGATGGTCTCGATCTCTTGACCTCGTGATCCACCCGCCTCGGCCTCCCAAAGTGCTGGGATTATAGGCGTGAGCCACCGCGCCTGGCTGGACAGATATTTTTAAGTATTGCAAAGCAAAAGTTGAATGATGCCGTAAAAAAAATTATCCTAAGTGCTCCAGGAGTTCCTTGCCAGATCCTTTAATCACTGTTGAGCAGAATCTATGAAAGTAACCTGAGAAACTGTAACAGATGATGTTAAATGTAAACATTAGGACAGAAAGAGGTAGTAAATGGCACTGACTTTGTCTAGAGTTACTCCTCTCCAGCCTTCCATTTTTCTTTTCTTTACTTTTAAGTGTTGGAGTCATTCTTTTGTTCGGGCTGGAGTACAGTGGCAGGATCACTGCTCACTGCACCCTTGAATCCTGGGCTCAAGCCCCTCCCACCTCAGCGTCTTGTAGCTGGGACTACAGGTCAGTGCAACCACGCCCAGCTTTTTTTTTTTTTTTTTTTTTTTTTATTTTTCTGTAGTGATGAGGTCTCCCTATGTTGCCCAGGCTGGTCTCCTCGATCTTCCCACCTTGGCATCCCAAGGTGCTGGGATTACAGGCATGAGCCACCTCCAATTGTCTATTGGCCTCCAATTTTCTAAGTCTGATCTTTTCTCCTCTTGGAAGGAGATCTTTTGTCCTCTCAGGGGAGAAGAGGAAAGAGAGACTTTTTTTTCTGTTTCTGAAATCTCCTAGCATGTGGCTTTTGACTTACCAATGGCAACACAGCCTTTGGATTCTCACTTGACCCTCAACATGTCTGGTTCTTTACAATTCTATGCATTTTCCTTTAGCGAGAGCCCTTCTCTGTCTTCCGCCACCCACTGCTTCGGCTGCTCTCTCGCTGTTCCCTACCTGCGTTTGGCAGGAAGTTCAAATCCTGACTTGACCCTTTTTCAGTTACGTGGCCTAGAACTCATTGCTCTTTTCTCCTCATTTCATCATCTGAAAAAATAATACCTAACTTGAAGGTGAAAGTCAAAAAGAGATATCATGGACAATGTGCCTGGTGTAGAGAAGCTCTTGATGTACGTCCTTCCCTTCCCT